CCCTCCAGCCCCCCCCGCCCCCCCTCCCTCTGCCCTGCCCCGCCCCTCTCTCTCTGCCCTGCCCCGCCCCTCTCTCTCTGCCCTGCCCCGCCCCATTCTCTGCCCTGCCCCCCTCTCTCTGGCCCGCTCCCTCGCTCCAGCCCACCCACCCAGTCTCTCCAGCCTTCAGTGCCCTTTAATGTTAAATCCACTATACAACACATGTTCCTAAGCACAATTATTATCATTTTTGGACATGGGGGGTTAATCATTAAACAGGCAGAGTGCCAGGGCTGTGTTTGCTAGTGGACTGATCTCAGATGACGAATATGTCGAAGAATCTATTTTCAGTTGTTATTATTGGTTTAGTCACTGCTTGCCAAATAATTTTGAGCCACTAAAAGATGATTCCCCAGGCGTGAAGGAATGGATGGAGGGGGAATATTGTCTTGTGAGTGTATGTTCATTAGATTGAGAGGACATAACAATGAAACTGATACAACTTTGATTTTGATTTATGAAAACAACGATTTATGCTGTGTAGGTTTCTTTGTCGTCGTCCCCCCCTTCAATAACTTACACTTAAAATTCCTCCCGTTTTCTCAGTTTTTCCTTGAAAATGGTCCAGCATCTGGGTGGGTGTGGGGGGAGGGGGGTGACCAGATCAGCTGCTGTGATGTCATGTGGGCTGTGCAGGACGCTGCCTGTTCGGCGTGTCGGTGCTGATTGGGACCATCGGGGTCTGTCACTCCCCAGAACCACTTAGTGCGGATGCTTCACCTCCAAAGATTCCATCCAAAAAAACATGGATGTGAGAGGCTGTCAGGCGTTAGTCTGGACCGGTGAGGAAACCACTTTTTCCTGATTGTACCTAGGAAATTAAACTATTTTCATCTGCAAACATCATAGTCATTGATACAAACGTTCAGCTGTACTTTGATTTCTTACTCTTTGAAGACTTAAATGTCTAAATAAAGTGCTGAATTTTTTAAGGATTGTGTCCAAATTCTTTTCGGTAGCAAACGTGAACCATTCCTCAGCCGTGTGTAACACATGTCAAACGTTTCACAGAATGTTCTTCAGTGTTCTTCTGAAGCAGTAACACAGCTGATAGGCAGCTTCCCCGTCCATCAGGGAGACGGGGCTGAGGTCTGGTTAGGCCTCGCCGGTTCCGGCTGGCCCAGTGGCCTCTGACACCACTCCCCCGCTCGGAGCGGGCCGGAGTCATGGCCATGCTGAATTCATTACAGCAGTAGTCACACAAAACCATGGATAAAATTTCAATAACTGCGGGCCACAGTTAAGTAAACAGTTGCGCTGAAATTTAATTCCTGTTGACTTTTGCTTCGCTTGTTGCCAGGGGCACATTCTGATTCGCTGTGCAAAGACAACCGGGCTTAGAGCTTTGATGAATGAGAGGCGGGGGCAACATGCCACAGATGCACATTCAATACCAACCCCCCCCCCCCCCCCACCAAAAACGGAGCTGCCTGTTCCAAACCACCTTTTATTTCTTGTCTGTGTCGAGAAGTTCGTCGCCTCTGTGTGTCTTTGTTGCGCTTGCATGGGCCGTGCGGAGGGACAGATTCCAAAGCGTCCCTCATCTGCAGCGTGTGAAATGCGCTGAGTCCTCAGGATGGGTGGGGGGTGCTTTTATTGGGGTTTCCATAATCACTTTCAGAATTAATGTGCGTCTTTCCGCAGTCTTGTTAGCGAAAGACCAAAGGGGTAATGTTTCTAATTGCACAACTGGCGAGTATGCATCAGGACGAGTATCCGTCCATCCATCTTCCCCCCGCTCATCCGGTACTGGGTCACAGTCAGCCTGGAGCTCGTCCCAGGAAGCAGGGGACGCCCTGTACGGGATGCCAGTGCCTTCATATGTTTGGCACTGCTGACCTGCTTCTTGTTAAGGGGGGTGAGCTTTACGACACCGGCGTCCTTCATTAATCTGGGCCGCCTCGCCGGTTCCCCAGGCGTCGATCCGCTCATCGATCTTCTTAGCGACCGTTGCCGATGTCGCCGTGCAAAGACTGCAGCCCTCGTGGTAACCGTGTCTCTGATGGCCAGCGCCAGTAGGCCCGGATCTCGATCAGGGCCCGATAAGACAGAACCAGGTCGGAATGGCCTGCCCGTTTGTGTAGGAAGTGGGTGTCCCCCAATGTATCTCAGATACGCAGAAGGTCAGCATTCTCGCCCATGGCTCGCCGAGCGGACCGGTCCCGCAACTGATTTCCACGGACGGGCCCGGAGTGCGGGTGGTGGCACGTCATCCGTTCTTATTAGGCAGTGTAACGATGAAAGACAGGCCTCGTTAATAAAGACGCGGGATAAAGTAATTGTAATCTGTTTTATCAGCTCGAATCTGACAGGGAATTCATCTTCTCAAAGTGCGGAGATCTGTGGTAAGTAGACCATAAGCTCCATTTAAACATCTCCATTAGTAAGTCAAACACCCCGGAATGGTAGCATCACTTCTGGGTTGGCTGACCCAAATCCGCCTGTGTGCACCGTGACATCCATGTGGCCAACATCATCTGGGCCTTGTTCTTGGACTGTGGGCCGTGCGTCCAGATACAGGTACCGGCGGGTCCGCGGCGCTGTGGGCGTCTGAACAGCTTGCTGATGTGCTACCATCTATACTGGTTTTTCTTAGAAATTTCTGGAACTTTTTTCAGCCTGTTTTGCTTGCCTTCGGCGTCATGCGCAGGCCCCCGCAGCCTCGCATGCTCCCCTGCGTCTACGCCGTCCCCGGCCGGAATTTCCCTTCTACCTCGCGGGGAAATCGCATCTGCGGGCGCCTCCTGGATGTGTGGACGGCGCCGGTGATGCTGGGGGGGCCGTGCCATGCGCCACACCTGAGGAGGAGGCGGGTCCTTAATGCGGCGACCCCCCGGCACTGGCTACGCGGCTCCTCTCCACCGCTAGTGGAGCAGAAGTTGTAGTTTTAATGAGGAACCAGCGACGGCAGCTGCAGTGAAATGAGAAGGGGGTGGGAAGGTGCGGCCCAGCAGCCGGCGAGATTTGTGGCTCACGCTCAGTTCCCCTTGTTGTTGTTGATCTCATAACAGGAAGCGACGACCGCGGCGCGTCACACGCGGGCCAGCCCTGTCACGCACTGCGCGCACTGCACTCACTGCTTTGTCAGCCAGTAGGGGGCAGCCCGGGGCCTCGTCCCAGACGAGCCCTCAGTTTTACGCCCGAATGGGGGGGGGTTTACCCTTCTGTTTATAGGCTGGCACTCTTAGTGAAGCATGTGGTGCAGATACTGTAATATTCTCAGGTAATGCCTTTATACACGCCCACCAGTGGAACTTCAGTTTACTGTGCTGGTCCCCCTGCTGTCAGAGGATGTTCCCTGACCCCCCCCCCCCGGCCAGGCTGCCTGATTCTTGCTTATCTGGCTTCTCGGCACAAACACGAAGCTCCGTGCAGCACCTGTCCTGGCAGGATACGAAGCCCGTCAGGTTTTGTCGGAACGTACCAAGAGCTTGCACACGCGTGTGAAATCTCCCCGCCACAGACTGATAGCCTTTTTGGGTGGGGGAAGTGGGGGTCTCTCCAGGGTCCCATTTTCCGAGGACCTGCCGCTTCCGTCCTGCCCTGACGGGCTGAGGCAGAGTCCTCTCCCCACTTGTGTGGCCTGTTACTGTCGTCATGGTGATTATTGTGATCATTCCGGTCCTGCCGGTCTCGGTGTTCGGCTCAGAGGACTGTCACCCCTCATTCCTTAGCACCCGCCTCCTATCTGCCTGTAAACTGCTAATATTGTCAGATCGGACCGCAGTCGACGGGCCCGGCTTATTAAAAATCGGGGGAACGGATAAGATGGGTTTTAGGGTGCCACATATTGCCCTAAATTGCTTTATTGGTAAAATGATAGTGCTCTTCCAATTTAAATAATTTTATGGAATCCCTCACAGAACAGATTAATTATGTTATCACACAACTTGCAACATCTGTCTTTATAGTGGAACAGATGACAGTTTTATTACAGGGAGAATTTCTTTGGTGGATCTGGCAATTGATGTGTGATCTGATTAATAATCATACAGATGGAGATGAAAATTGAACAGGAATGCGTTGTACCGGGAT